AAAAGCCCATTATCCTTTCATTGTCCCTATAGTTGTGGGAATATAAATTTAAAAAATAAATCCCTCTTGTCCTTAATTGAGATTTCTGAATATCTCCATATTACTTTTTTTTTGAGGGTGTTAGTTCAAGCGTTCATTTTTTAAATACATTAATAACTAGTAAGAATACAGTGGTATGCATAATTTGTCAAGCACTTTTTAAATACACAAGTATATAGTCTTTTTGGAGCAATCCAGCTAAGACAGAAAATTATAACTATTAAATTAGAAGTCTAGGCTAACCTCTCAAGTTTAAAGCCTGTAGAAGGAAGTGACAAATTTTGAATTGAAGATGGCTTTGCATTTTTTGATGTAACTTATTTGAACTTTAAAAAACAAATATTTCTTATTGGTCAGATGTGTTTTTAGAATGTTGAAGATGCCAGTGAAAAGGAAGATAAGAACATGAGTAATAGAGTAAATATGGCTTCTTATATTCATTTTAATTTTACATCTTAACATAGAAATCCATGCTAGCAAAAAATTTGAAAAGAGAGGGGATTTGAGCAGAATATTTGAAAAATCATTAATCAATTCACATATTGGTCAGAGAATTTCATCTTTATTAATGTAAGCTAAAATAATTTCCTTACATAATTCTTAACTATTGTCACTTTATTTTATAGGAAAGAAGCAACAGACTTTCATATAGACCATCAGTCCAGGCCCTTTTTAAAGTAGGTGCTAACCTTGGGGCTCGTGTTGCGTCTTGGAGGATATCCTGGAAAACTAAGGAGTTATAATTTTATGATTCAAAAATTTGTTCCATAAGAATAATCTGTTGAAAAGTCCTTAGCAGCATCTTGTAACTGCAGAGAGCTTTTTTCTAGGAATTGTTTTTTCTGTCCTTTTATTAGATAAGAATTCTCTTATCATTAAATATATTAAAGTTTAATCAGAAGCTAATATAATGATTTCCTTAAATTATAAGGAGCATAGCTTTCTTTTTAGATTTCAGTAGATTGAAAATAGAGTGATGACTTCATTTTATGTTGAATATGTTTTGTGGTTTAAACTTATTTTGGCATCCTCATGTATATAAAACATTCATAGAACTGTTCTATGTTGACTAGTTTGATATACATTTTGTTCCTTGAAATTCAGCAACAAATATGTTAGAAACTGTATCTATGTTCTCAATATTTGGGTTGTATTTAAAGTTAGTGAATATTGTGCACCTCATATTACTATTGAGAGACAAAGGAGAGTGCTTACACTTCTAAAACAGGAGGACGTCAGCCAAACTGCTCCAATAGACATGTCATTTGGTGTTCTGCACAGAGTAGTGTTTTACTGAAGAAAAGTTTTATATAAGAAAATCATTGTTGTAAGATTATTTTAAACTAAGCATTATAAAAGATTCTGAAACCTCGGTAGAATAGGCATATATAATTCTCTTGGAAATTCTTCTTTGTGAGGGTCTTTGTGTGTGTTGATATTACTACAGCTCCTTGCTGAATGTTTTGTATGTCACTGGACCAACTCAGTGCTTACTGATTGAAAACTCATTGTCATTTTGTGAATTCCAATAGATCTACACACAAAAACTCTTATTACAAATATAAGACATGGCTCTCATCACTTTATTATGAAATTTTAACCACATGAAAATAAAAAGATCCTTCTGTACCTTTCAGAGCAATGCAAAAAGCACAGATCATTATGCATTTTAAATGAACGAAATAGTCTTTATTCAATTAAACAGTGATTTTTCTGCTAACAGTAATTGATTTTACAACGTTAGTGATCTGTAGTGACTTAGGTCATGCAAGACACTCATTTTATGAAAATTTTACCTTGCCCATGTAAAACTCACTATGGTCAATGGTTCTGAGATCATAATATTCATGTATATGTTGAAATACTCAAATAGTAATATATCCTTATTAAGAGAGAGATCTCAGTTGATAGAAAAATGTAGCAAATCAATCTTTTACCTGTTTCATAGTGAGCTGATCCAGTTTATTACGAGTGGCCCTGTAATTGCCATGGAGATTTTAAGAGATGATGCTATATGTGAGTGGAAAAGACTTCTTGGACCTGCGAACTCTGGACTGGCACGTACAGATGCTCCTGGAAGCATTAGAGCCCTCTTTGGAACGGATGGCATAAAAAATGCAGCTCATGGCCCTGATTCTTTCACTTGTGCTGCCAGGGTAAGGTATTTTAAAAATATTTTAATTCTGTTTTGGTTTTGTTATATGTTTAATGTCAAAGTAAAGCCCTTTGTAACTGCTGACTAGGGTCGATTTATACAGCTGACCTAGTAGAAGAGAAAACCTATGACCTTTTGCCTAAGATTAAACAGTGTTTCAATGATGTCTCCTTTGTGAACTGGCAACCTGGCCATGGTCGGTCAGAATAACTTTTCTCCAATTAAAATGGTTGTCCCATTTTGTTCCAAAGACTTAAATTACTGAGGCCCATCAGAGTTTGAATTATTAAATTCATGTAAGAAAACCAGTTTATGGAAAGTGAATATTCAAAAAGAAGGCATCATTTGATATATTCTTTCTTTGACTCAGACTTGATGCTCTGTTTTCAAGCTTAACATCCTTTTTTCTCTTCCTATATATAGCTAGTGTTTATGAAAACCTTTCTACAATTACTCCTTATTTGAAATCCGTATAAATAAGGTATTGCAACTGGGTTTATACTGGTGTGGAATTAACAAAGTGCAAGTTAATTCTTAGCATTGTGAAAAGTTTCTCAGCTAATTTAAGATGGCTTTTATTCTGGTCATGTTTGCAGTGGAATAATACTAGAAAGTTTTATGATACAGTTGACCTTTGGACAATGTGGGTGTTAGGGATTCTAAACCACTGTGCAGTCAGAAGTCTGCCTGTGACTTATAGTGGGCCCTCCATGGCCACATTTCCTCCACATCCAAGATTCCTTGGCATCCATGTATTCAACCAACCGCAGGTTATGCAATATCGGAGTATTTACTATTGAAAAAAATCTGCGTGTAAGTGGATCAGTGAGCAGTTCAAACCTTGTTGTTCAGAGCTCAGATTTTTTTTTTCTCACAACTCTTATCAATAAATCTTTTCCATTCTCCTTTCAAGCTAGACCTTGAGTCTGATCATTATGGTCTAAATCACTGTTACATTTTGTCTGGACTATTGTAAAAACCTCCTAAATTATTCTTTCCTCTCTTCTTCTCTTCCAATTTATGAACATTTTACCTTTTCCAAGTAAAATTAACCATGTCCAAGTGACCTTTTTAAAACAAATCAGATTAACAATTCAGCTGTCAAACTCTTCAGTGAATTTTTGTCTCTTATAGAATAGAATCTTAATATTTATTGTAGCCTCCAAAATTGACCTGATCCAGTTCCAATCAATTTCTACATCTTCTTCTGTAACCAATCTCTCCCTTACTCGCTGTTTCTCAGGTGTATTGGCCATCTTGCTATTTTTAGAATAGCATATTGCTGCCTGGCTTGTTCAATTAACAGCAGAGGAGGGGCTGATGAGGTCACAGAAGTAATCAGGGAGATATCATATGGTTTGAAGATTATGGTAGTATAAGACTTCTGTCTTTTTCTCTGAGGAAAATGGAGAGCCATTGCAGGGATTTGAGCAGAGGATGACATGCTTGACTTGACATCTAAAAAGATCGCTCTGGCTGCTGCATTGAGAATAGACTGTACAGGGCAAGTGTAGCAGCAGGGAGCCCAGTTGAGAGAATGTTGCAATAATTCAGAGAAACAATGGCTTGGACCAGGGTGTTAGCAGTGAGTCGAGCGTATGGATGTAGTTTAAAATAGATTTTATGAGGCAATACTGATAATAAAATCTTAAATCCATGTAGTTAAGTAAAATGAGCAAGGTACAAAATAGTGTGTATGCGATGCTACTATTGTATAAAAAGAGGTAAAGAATGTATATTTTTATTAAAGTAAGATGTTGAAATGTGTTACAAGGTTCTCATGTGTACTAGTTTCTACTCAGGGCAGGCTGGAGGTGCCCTAGTGGCAAGAGAATAAGGGTGCAGAGGAAGATTTTCACTACATATTGTCTACCTTTAAAAGTTTTTAACCATGTAAATTATTTCCTATTCATAAATATATAAAAAAATCACTGGTCTAAAAAACATATTTTAATGATTGAGGACCAAATGATCAAGATTCCCTTCCAGATTGAATATGAGAGTCTGAGAAAGAGATGTCAAGGATTACCCCAAAGTTCTTGGCCTGACCAACTCAAAGGATAGAATTTACATAAACTGAAATGAGGAAGGCTATGGCTGGAGTCAGTATGGATGGAAAATAAGAGATTACACTTTGAACGTGGAAACTTAAGATGTATGCTTGTTTATCCAAGAAGATATATTGAGAAAAAAATTGAGTACGTGAGTTTGGAGTTCAGGGGAAGGTCTGGACTAAAGGCTTAAATGTTGGGGGCATCAGCATACAGATGATATTTCAAGCTGTGAGGCTGGGTGAGAGTACCAAGGAGAGAGAGTGTAGCTAGAGAAGGAAAAAGAACAAAGACGGAATTTTGTGCCCTGGTAAAGGGTTACAGAGGATAAAGCAGTAAAGGAGTGTTGAGCGACGGAGAAGGAAAACATTCAGAGCCAATGGTGTCCTGCAGCCACGTGAAGGAAGTATTCTGAGGGGAGAGAATGATCAGTCGTGTCAAGTGAGGTGGGTGTATCAAGCAAGAAGGGGATTGGGAACTGAACATTAGATTTTGCAATGCGGAAATCATTGGTGAACTTGAATAAGATGAATGTTGATGGAGAGTTGGAGGCAAAGCCCTGCTTGGAGTGGATTTAAAAGAAAATTGGAGGACAAGAATTGGAAACAGTGAATATAGACAATTCTTTTCAGGGAGTTTTTGCTGCAAAGGTGAGCAAGGAAATGGTAGCTGTGAGGATAAGCAGGGTCAAATTTTTTTAAGCTGAGAAGAATTATAGGTGTGAAAAATTGATGAGAGAAAAGTAAACTTACTGGAACAATGTCATTGATTAGGTGACAAGGAATGGAAATTAGAGCCTGGACTGGCTGTGCGGTGGTGCAGGGCTAGTTGTCTATAGCAACAAATGGGAAGGCCGAGTATGAGGGTGCAGGTGAGGATTCTTATGGCCTCAGTTTTCTCAATAGGAAGCAAGGTCGAAAACTGCTAAAAGTGAGGATGGGGGAGAAGATATTGGAAGGTTAAAAAAAGAGACATGTGAAATAGGCATCTGAAAGACTAGGACAAGGAAGAGATTAGGAAATATGGTATGATTGCTGTGCTGAATGAATGGCCCACCTGAAATTCATGGTCATGAATTATGAGTGTGAATGTTCTCCTGCCATGTTCAGCTGCATGGGTGTAGGTGCAGAGTAGGTGAAGGGTTGCTTTAGCCATAGTTGTGGTTTTGTGAAGCAAGTATGCTAGGAGGGTTATGGGAGTCAGAGGTGCTTGTAAGAGTGATTATAGTCTTTGACCTTTGATCTTACTAGTAGACATTTACTATAAATGTAGTAGTATTTTCAATTCTTATTGCTACCAATCAGGTATTTTAAGATATAAAAATGATGGCATAAATAATTAAGGAAATAACTGGGGGCTGAATTGAAGGTCACTGACCATGTTCACTGATATGTTCCTCGTATTTTCCCCATCACCATGTCACCCCATCTGTTTCTCTGTTCTTTTTTTCCACCAGTTTGTTTAATGAATTTGAGCGTAAGTGTACTGTTCAGAATTTAGGTAACTTAGGCTCTGTCCATGTTTATACGTTAGATGATTCCACCAGTGAGTTCATGAAGGCAGATATTTTTATTTGTTTTGTTTTGATTATTAGAACCTGCCTACTACATGATAAGTGCTCAGTAAATACTTGGATGAATGGATTTTCCTGATACCGGTCATTAAATTCCCTGTCTCCTTCCCATTCGTAACCAATATTTTTTTCAAAGTTTTTTTTTTTTTAACTTTGATATAATATAAATAAAATGGAAAATGTCAGCATATTTTGGTGTTTTTTCTCAAGATGCTTTACCTTACAAATATTCTTTGCCTTTGTTGAAATACCATGAATCTTGACCCTCTATACCATATCTTTATTGGATAATAATGTAGGTCATATATTTATTTCAATAGTAGTATCGATGCTGAAAATAAGTGGATTCAGAAATGCAGGGGAAGTTTTTTGTATGTTAACATGATAAAACTAGACTTGACTTGCCTTAAGTATATATACTTGTGTGTTTCAATGCATGCATATACATAATGCATGTGCTAAGCTTGGTAGAAAAATTCCTAGCTGCTAGTAATATGGAATGTTTCCAACTTTAGCTAGCATATTTGTTTCTGTTTTGCAAACTTAAAATTTGTAGCTCTTTTCTGATATTTGTCCCTGAAATACCCCATTACTTGTATAAACCCTTTAGAATATGCATATTCTTGACACGCTTCTTGGGAAGAATGAGTAATGTGAACATCCTGTTAGCTGACTGGCTACCAAGGAGAAATACTGTGGAACGTACAACATGCATGAGGAAGCAAGGGCCATAGGTATTGACAAAAAAACCCCACGAAAAACAGTATACAAGCAGCCAAAAATAACCTCTCTTTGGCTTTGAATTCCTATTAGTTACTATCTTTTTTCCTTCTTGCCCAGATTCTCCAAAGCCTAGACATAACTCATTGTTTTCTCTTCTTCATTTGCCTTTGACTGCTCATTGAGATTAGCCACTACAGTTTGGTTTCGTCTTTTCATTCCACTGAAATCATACTGGCTAAGATAACCAATGTGCTCGGAAGTGCAAAATCCAAGGGGCATTTTTCATTTCTTATTTTACTGTGTCTGCTGTATTTGACTGCAACATTTAACAAGTTTGAACACTTCCTCATTTCTGAAATACTCCACACTACTTAAATCTGTGCTATCTCACTGTCCTTTTCTCTTTATATCTAGTAGATCATGAGCTGTGTCTTATTAACTAGCTTTTTTCCCTGTGGTAGTATTGGTGGTGTTCAGGCTTTATTCCCTGGTCTACTACTTTTATTGCTCTGTTTCTCAGGCTCCTGGCCTGTAAAATGAGGTAATAGTTGCACCTACTTCATAGGTACTTCATTTAGGGGCTTAGCATAGTCCCTAGAACGTGGTACTTAATAGATGTTATCTATTAATGTTCCGTTTTCGTGGTGCCTCCAA